CCTGATGGTCAATGCATCGCACATACAGTCTCACCTGTCTTGTGATCTGCCATCTTACATATGTGCCAGTATACTTGAAAGATACCATTCTGAAGTTCCTTGTTTAAAGAACATGTGTTTGCAGACTAATAGATATTGCCCATTACAAGGGGAAGCCGAGCCGTACCACATCATAAAAATAAATACCTGTTTTCTGTCGTTTATTGTTACTGTTGTTGTTACTGTTAGGTTGAGTCAAGATCTTGATGTTTGCTCAGCTGATACTGAACTTGTTGTGTAGTCTAGGCTAGCTGGTGGATTAGGGACTAAGTCACAATGAAGAGAAATGGGATTTTATATTAATTAACTAATAGATGTTTACTTATTTGAGATAGGGTCTTGTTGTGTACCTCAGGCTGGTCTCAGACTTTGACTCTCAGCCTCCTGTTTAGTGGGATGACAGATGTGTGCCACTGTGCCTAGCTTTGGTTACTTTGACATTTTCCTTTTCCTTCCTTCCTTCCTTCCTTCCTTCCTTCCTTCCTTCCTTCCTTCCTTCCTTCCTTCCTTCCTTCCTTCCTCTCTCTTTCTTTTTTTAAATTTAACATAATTTCTTTATTGACTCCTTGGGAATTTCACATCGCGCTCACCTCCCAGGTCTTCCATAATCCTCCCCTCACCCCTACAGTGCCCACCCAAAAGAAAATTAAAAAAATCAAAACAAAACAAACAAAAACCAAAAGGAAAAACAAACAAACAAACAAAAAACCAACCAAAAACAAACCCACAAAAGTTTGAACATCATTTAAAAAAAAAAATTATTTATTTATATAGTGTTCTGCCTGCAAGCCAGAAGGGGGCATCAGATCTCATTACAGGTGGTTGTGAGCCACCATGTGCTTGCTGGGAATTGAACTCAGGACCTCTGGAAGAGCAGTCAGTGCTCTTAACCTCTGAACCATCTCTCCAGCCCTGAACATCTTTTTAAGCCTTTTAAATTTCCTTTACACATTCTGTCTACACATTCTTGGCTTTTCTATTGAATTCTTGGTGGTGTTCTGATTTGTAGGTATTCTATGTGTGTTAAGAAAAAATAGCCAGGCAGTGGTGGCTCATGACTTTAATCCTAGCACTGGGGAGGCAGAGCCAGGCGGATCTCTATGAGTTCGAGGCCAGCCTGGGCTACAGAGTGAGATCCAGGAAAGGCGCCAAAGCTACACAGAGAAACCCTGTCTCGAAAAACAAAAAACAAAACAAACAAAAACAAAAACAAAAAAAGGAAAGAGAGGAAAAAAAAGAAAAAAACTTTGTGATTTGTAGTATCCTTAGTTTCATTTGTTTTGATGTTTTATAGGAAATATCTTATTTTCCAAAATACCTTTTCAGCAACATTTTAATTACTGTTTTAAAAATTTAGGTGACATTGATTAGTCTTATAGCCTCAGGATGTACCTTAGGAACAACAACCAATGTTATCCATTGGCCTCCACACACATGTACATGTGCACACCATCACATGTACACCCTTGCACACATACACATGCATGTATACATACATACATACAAAGAGAGAAAGAAATAGTGTGGTTTCCTTTAGCCCTGGAGATTGAACTTCAGACATGCTAAGCATGTGCTCTGTCACTGAACTGTGCTGTACCCCTACAGCTCCTCTCAGTTTGAAAAACTCAGTTGTTTTAGATTGTTCTGTACCATAGGTGGGACGTTCAAAGGAACTGTAGACTGAATGTGTTTTAAATGTTTGGAGCTTTTGGGAAGGAGATGGCTCAGCAGTTAAAAACATTCATTTTCTTGCAAAGAGGACCTGGGTTTGATTCCCACACTCACACAATGGCTCACGGTTGTCTGTAACTCCAGCCCTCTTGACATCCACAAGCACCAGGCACGCACATGCTGCATATACATACATGCACGCAAACACTTACACACTTACAATTAAGTAAACATAAAAGTTTAAGGTATTTTAGAGCTTTTAAGTAATTTTTTGTTGTTTTTTGCTTGCTTCTTATCTCTATGTGAACTTTAGAATTGTCTGGCTTTTTAAGATTTTCATTACTTTGCCGGTGGCTTGCAAAACATTTAAAGATTAAGTTAGGGAGAAATAAAATCTTGTAATGCTGAATTTATTTAAGAACATGAAAATTTTTTATTGGTTCCTGTCATTTTTTTTTGGTACCCATTAGAAGAATATAGATAAAAACAAAACAAAACAAAAAACCCACAAATATTTTGAATGTCTGTTTTCTTGAAGTTTTGTGGTATTCACCCCTATTATTTGCACTTCTTCTTTCTGTTTTTATACTTATTTCTTCCTTAATTAAACTACTTTTGTCAGCTCCTCCAGCACATTTTTAGATGATTATGTTGAAATGAATATTTTGTTGTGCTTCTAACTTAGTTTCAGTACTCCTGGGTTTCTCTGTTGTCTATGTTGTTGGCTTTATGGTCGAGGGGGAACCTTTGATTTTCAAAGTTGTTATTGTGTATCATTTTTTAAAAGCCTTAACAAGGAAAATCTTAAGCTGTAAGAAAAATTGAGAGGACCACACAAAGAATTTGTTTTTTCCTGAACTATAAGGGCTACTTGCCAGTTAGTCTGATAGTTCATTGGCTCTGACCGAATTCCTCAGTGTTTATTTCTACAAACAGAGACTGTCCTCTGTAACACAGAGCATCAGCATCAGAAAGTTAGCCCTCATCTATTGGGACTTTCCAATCCTCAGCCACCATTCTTGATTCACCTCTCACTATTCTGCATGATCCATTCCAGGTCAGAATCATGCATTGAATTTGGTTTCTGGCCTCTTCAGTTCTTCAGCCTGGAACAGTTTTTCTGTGACTTTTGTTTGACGATCACAAGAAGACTGATGCGGCAGGACTCTAACGTTGAATTTCCTCGGTGTCTCCTTTGTCCTTTCTAAGAGTGTCTTATGAGTGTCTGAGCTTGAGGAGGGCCATGGCCCCGGGACTCCTTCAGGCGTGCTTTCCATGACTGCCCAACAGTAGTGTGTGTGTGTGTGTGTGTGTGTGTGTGTGTGTGTGTGTGTGTGTGTGTGTGTTGGTAGAATAGGGAAGCAAGCGTCGTAGGAAGACAGGCAAGTTGCCAGTGGGCTGGAGACTCAGTCACAGTGTAGACTTTATGTTATAGGTTGAACTGTAGAATCATCCAGGATCAGTGACATGTTAGAAAGTCAGAAATAGCCGAAGAATATAGAAGATAAGGTTGGCAATTTATGTTATTGTTACTTTGCTTGGTTACATTGATTCGCTTTATTGTTTTTACTAACACTTTTTAAGTGTACACATTTCTGTCAAAGCAGTGGGTTGCTTGGCCAAATGAGTTGGGCTGACATATTCTTCTGATGAGCTTTCATTTTATCGCTTGAGGGGCATGTGCCATTATTCTGTATATCATCTTAGAGTATATATTTGAAGCATTTTAGGATCTTTGAGGTGTGAACAGATACGATGGATGTTCAGTGTCTTTTCCTTTGTTTATATTTTCTATATACAGTTGAATTGTTGTCAATCTTTTAATTATTTTAATAAGGAAAATATCCTTTTGATTGAAAAAGTTTTAAGAACTTTTTGAAATGAAAATAAACACATCATAGTACTATTTATAATTCAAAGGTTATGAGAAGAGTAGCAAATTGGATTATATGTTCACTGTGAACTAAATAAGGAGAACTGAGTCTCATTTAAATGAAATAGAACTGAGTTTATTGGTTTATTCATTAAACCACAGTTGGACAGTCCTCAGAATTCTTTAGGAGTGTTTTAAAGTCATCCTTAAATGTGAAGTTCTTTTTTGAATGGAAAGCAGTGCTCATATATAATAACGTTGCTGTCTGTCTCTGGGTTGGTGTGGTAGAAATGGGTGAGAGGAGCATGTGCCCATGGGAAGTTGGCGGTCATCTGTGACGCACTTAAATGAGCTCCTTCTTGCCTTTATGGAGATACCAATGCTTGGACAAGCGCGTATTCCAACGCTTGCAGTTCTTTAAGCAGAGATGTGGTTTCGGTCCTCAGTGTCTGTCCCTGTCCTACTGCAGTTGACACTGCCTGCTGTTTGTCTCACGGTGAGATGCCGGAGTTTGTCACTCTGTGGAGAGCAGCAGCAGTGTGCTGAGGATCTGACATCTGATTGTCTCGTTTCCGGTCTCTCTTTTCTCTCACGTATCACCTTTCCTTAAAGGAGATGAGGAAATAGAGCTATTTGTTGTTTGTAGGATAAGTCCAGGATTAAGTTAAGGACTGTCATATAAAATTTAGATATATCATGAAATTTAAAATTTCATACATGTATATAATGTGTCTTGGTCATATCATCCCCCACTCTCCCCATTCGTCCCCCACCCCCCTGCTCGTCTCCATCACATCTTCTGTCTTCCTCACAAGTTCATGTCCTACCTACAGAGTCCACTTAGTGCTGCCCACAGGCCCATGTGTGTGGGGTCATCCACTGAAGCCTGGGTAACCTTCCCGTGCCTGCCCCCCCCCCCAAAGTGACCGTCTTCCTCACCATCCATTAGCTGCTGTTATCTCCTCAGTGAGGGGCATAAAGGGGTCCTCCCTCCCTCCCATGCTGGAATATTTAACTCTGTTGATCTTGAAAACAAAACTCTTCGTTTGGAAAAATTTATAAGAATTCTGGTCATTTTACTTTCCTGCCTGCATTTTTTATAAAAATGAACCTCTTTCAAGGTACTTTATACCTTGGGCAAACTGCGCGTCTGCTTTGTACCCTGTTTGTTGTTTTATATATAGGTCCGTAGGAGAACCAGGGACCACGTGAGGCAGCATCCCTCATCTGGGATACACTGTGCATAGGTCTCCGGTGCATAGTTTTTCAAATTAGGACTTCCCCCCTTCAGCTAATACTTCTTTAGTTTGCACTGTGCCGGCTTTGAAGAGGAATTGTATTGATTGCCTGCTGCTCTAAAACTTCTTCCTTAAAGGCATCTGTTCTGAACTGAGTTTTGCCTTTCTCTCCCTTCCAGGCCCAGATTGCCTTCCTTCAGGGGGAGAGGAAAGGTCAAGAAAATTTGAAGAAAGATCTTGTGAGGAGGATCAAAATGTTGGAATATGCTCTGAAGCAGGAACGGTAATTCAGTAAAACCCCTCTGTCCTAACCATCTTCATTACTCCACCATTTCTAAACTACAGTCACATCTTGATGTCATGTACCCTTGAACCCAAGAGTAGGGAATCAACATTTTGTCAGTGTAGGATTGCAATATGTTAATCTCATTGTGAATAACAATAACTTTAATAAGGTGACTTACATGGTTTAAAATGGTTTAGCCACATTTATTCACAGTCTACTTCTTTTTGTTTGTTTGTTTGTTTTGAGATAGGGTTTCTCTGTGTAGTTTTGGTGCTCCTCCTGGAACTTGCTTTGTAGACCAGGTTGGCCTTGAACTCACAGAGAGTCGCCTGGCTGGGATTAAAGGCGTGCGCCACCGCCTCCGGCCACAATCTACTTCTTATATTGTATGCTTATGAAGCTTATGTTCTTCCTAGACTTAGGCTGTCATCCATTTCTCTCCACTCCATCTTCTGCTCTTTATTTATTTAGTTATTTAAGTTTGTTTGTTTTGAGATAGGGTCTCATACAAACTAGCCTCAGACTCACTAGGTAGAAGATGCTGACCTTGAACACTTCATCCTTCTGCCTCTTAACTCTCAAGTACTTGGATTATGGGTCATGACCAGCTCTTCTGTTGCTTTCCTTTATATCGTTTTGTTTGTTTTTCTTTCCATGGTACTAGAGATTAAACCCAGGGTCATGTGCATGTTGTGCATACACTCTATCATTGAGCTAGATGCCCAACACTCAACCAGTTATTCATAGTGTTAAGTTTCAAGCCCACCAAATGGCTGAGGTGCCTATTTAACATATCAAAGCGGACCTGGTCACCAGGTTCTCCCAGCATCCCTCAGTCCCTACCTGTTACAGGATATGGCTGGCATACTCTACCCTGAACTCTCCAGCCCAGGGGCTCTTCCCTGTACAATACAGACATTTTGGTTACCCACCCTTTTTTTGTACCTTTGGCCTCCTGGCCACACATCCCACTGTGGCCCAGCTTGGCCTGGTCATATCCATTCTCAACTCTTCCAGATGTCCCTGCCTCTACCTACGCTCTCCTTTTTATCCACTTTCTTTTATAAACTTTCTCCTCCACCATACCTAAGAGCCTTCATGTTCTTTCCTTTCCTTTTACTTCTTTTTTTTTATTCCTAGAGTAAAATTACATTTTAATCATAAACGGAATTTCTATAATGCTTCTCCCTTTTTAATGATGTAATATTCAGCATGATACAGTTTTTTTTTTTTTTATTTCAAGACAGGGTTTCTCTGTGTAGCTTTGCGCCTTTCCTGGGACTCACTTGGTAGTCCAGGCTGGCCTTGAACTCACAGAGATCCGCCTGGCTCTGCC